AGCCGAGAAGGGGGGGGTAGGTGGACGGCCTGTCGTATCTCACGTGACCTACCGAAGAAGAAGAAGAAGAAGAAGAAGAAGAAGAAGAAGAAGAAGAAGAAGAAGAAGAAGAAGAAGAAGATGGGGAAGAAGTATGGCTGCGGTAGGGTATGACGAAAAGGACCTGTCGAATAACTGACAAGAAGAAGAAGAAGAAGAAGAAGAAGAAGAAGATGAGGGGGAGGAGGAGGAGGGGAGAAGAAGAAGCAGAAGAAGATGAGCAGAGGAAGAGGAGGAGAGAAGAAGAAGAAGAAGAAGAAGAAGAAGAAGAAGAAGAAGAAGAAGAAGAAGAGAGGGGGAGGAGGAGGAGGAGAGGAGAAGAAGAAGAAGAAGAAGAAGAAGAAGAAGAAGAAGAAGAAGAAGGAGAACAGGAGGAAGAAGAAGAAGAAGAAGTTCGTCGGGGCCTCCGTCGTTACCTGCAACAGTAACCCTAGCAGCAGGGCCGAAGAAGAAGAAGAAGAAGAAGAAGAAGAAGAAGAAGAGGTTCGTCGGGGCCTTCGTCGTTACCTGCAACAGTAACCCTAGCAGCAGGGCCTTCGTCTCCCCGTCCTACACAAACCCTAAACGATTCCGACAAGAAGAAGAAGAAGAAGAAGAAAAAGAAGAAGAAGAAGAAGAAGAAGAAGAAGAACGGCGCCTTCGTCGTAGCAGCAGCAGCAGGACAGTCGATGGCGATGGCAACGGGCGACGGGCGACGGCGCAGCAGCAGGTCGGCACCAACTCCGATCGTGCTGGGGGGCGAGTGGCAGACCACCCCAGCCGATCAGAGCTTCAAACGGGGGGGAAGGTTAGCGCCAAGATCCGCCGGCTCTGTGGCTGTCGATCATGGTGGATCGACAGCCACAGAGCCGGTGCGAACTGAAAAAAAAGCAGGCCTACTGGGCCCGATGGGACGGTTTCTTGGGCCGGTCGGACCCGAGGCCTGCTGGAGGCCAATACCAGCCAAAAGGGGGTCCGAACCCCCCGACAGGTGAGTGCACTGGGGGGGCCGGCCCCCAACCGGGTGCCCTGCCCTGCCAGGCCGCCCGGGACCTCCCCCGGGCCCCTGCCGGTCACCCGGGCAGCCCGGATCCCCACTCAGATGAAAACACACTTTTGCCTTGGGGTTTTAGGCCCCTTTGATCCATTTTTTTACCTTTTTTTTGTTGCTGGTTTATTTGGTGTCCACTCTATGGACTGGTGACATGTCTGGCGTATGGGACGTTTCTTATAATGACCCTGAAAAAACCCTCCTGAAAATTTAGGGCTCTGTTAACCTCTTCTCGCCAGTGTTGGCACTTCGAGCTGTCCTTTGTGGCTCAGGATGGAGGATGAAATTCCTTCCCCCCCCCCCCTTTTAGGAGGATCGAATTCTTGATGTGTTCATTCTCGGTGTATGTCTGCAGGGACCAGATGGTATCTGGCATACGACAAAATACACTGACGTGGCGAGCACTTTGATCGACATGTGCAAGGAACAGCAAGTCTGGGAAAGGCATCTGCTTTACTGTGTGCCGGTTAGTTCATATTTGCGGACTCAATCTGCGATTTTAAACTCTGTTTTTGAGTCTGTTGATTATGTATTATTACTTCCTTTGACGCAGCTATTCTGCGGTGTGCCGCCATGTTTCCACGCGGTGTTGGTTCTTTCTGCATGGCAGTCTGCTGCGTTTTAGTGTCACTTCTTGTTCTTGTTCTTGTTCTTGCTATTGCTATTGCTCTTGTTGTAGTTTTCTTCTTCTTCTTCTTCTTTTTCTTCTTCTTCTTCCTTTCCTATTCTTCTTCTTCCTTTCCTCTTCTTCTTCGTCTTCCTCTTCTTCTTCATTTTCTTCGTCTTCTTCTTCCTTTCTTCTTTCTTTCTTCTTCTTCTTCATCTTCCTCTTCTTTGTCTTCTTCTTCTTCTTTGTTGTCGACCTTTGTGTTCTTGTTCTTGTTCTTGCTCTTCGTCTTCTTCTTCTGCTGCTGCGTAACTCCCAAAACGTTAGCTGCTGTAAGCAACTCATTCTCATTACCTATTCACGTTCACAATGGCATCCGGCTATGGATCTTGGGGTATACTCCACTTCCTCCGCCTCCTCTTTCTCCTCCTTGTGGCCGGAGAAAATGGTGCAGATAGCGTCTCCACAGCGGAGAAGTTTGGAGAAAAGCGTGAATCGTTGATGAATACGTGTGCCATAAGGTGGCTGCCAGCCAGGGTATTCCACTGGCACGAAGTTAACTATTTTTTCTTCTCAAAGGCAAGATGTGAGCAAACCCTCCAGGAGTTTCCCTTGTTACGTCAACATGCTAGAATAACACCCCACCAGTGGTTAACGGGGTAAATTGTTTTCATTGCTGAAATCGGGTTCTTTTTCACTTTTTTGGGTGGTTTGGTAATATGGTGTCCACTGTCCACTATATGGAATGATGCAAATTTTGGTTAAAAAGGCCTTTGTTTTTTCTTATGAATAGCATTCAAGAAACGCTGAAATTTTGGGTCTCCGACTCTCCGTTAACCGCCTCCCTCGGAAAATTTGGAAAATATATCTGGTCGCTGAACGGGGACAAGAGATATATATTTTTTTTGTTCAACTGGGAAAGGAATACTAGTAGACGAAGTCCTTCGGGACATCTGTTAAAATTGGAACAATACAGAAAGAAGATTAGCATGGGCCCCCCCCCCCCCAAAAAAAAAAAAGGGAGCATAGCGTGGCCCCTGCGCAAGGTTGACACACATAAATTGAGAAGTGGTCCATTTGTTTTTTCCCCTTAGGAAAACAAAACGCCTAGTAGACGAAAGCTCTGGGGCTATTCTTCTGGCAAGGAGTTAGTATTTTACTATTTTTGATTTTTTTGATTTTTTTTTCCTTCTCGAAGGCAAATGGCTACATCAAGGTACTAGAAAAGTCAAGATGGGATGTCTGATGAATCTGGACTGTTCTTGGGGCTGTCTGCTGGATCTGGACGATTTTTTGGGATGATTCAGGTGCCAGGAGAGTCAAGATGGTGCAGAGAGCCATCGGGAGCCACATGCTCAGGAGACGCTGATGTGACTTCTGCAGATGATGCAGAAATGCAGCAGAGGGAGAAGCGGGAAAGAGAGGAGGTTTGTCACTACAAACCCATGGTCATATGATTGGAACTTTTGAACACACAGTAGTTGAACTTGGGCTGTTTCTGTCATGTTCATCGAATTTTCATCCATTGACTGGCAAGTGCTACTCGACTTAACTCCTGATGTAGAAACCTTGCAAGCAAGACTGGCCTGGCAAGCAAGTTCCAACTGATCCAGTTGTACGAAAGTAACGAACTTCCAGTAACAGTCACTGTTGGTAACTTACGCCCAGGTCTCTCTGGCATTGTGTTCATGCTATGAAAGCAAGAACCTGGCCACGATCACAGCCAGGTTCATGCTTTCCAAGCATGAACATGGCGTGCGTGCGTCCTGATCCTTACTGCCACTAACTTTCTGCATCAGTTAAACTGCCCTGGGGAGCTGATCAGTTACTGTGTCGTACAAATCCGCTATTACGTCCAGGTCCATGCTTGGAAAGCATGGACCAGTGGGGCCTCTGACTTATCTAACTGCCGGTACTACTGGATTCAGGAGAGATGAAATAGGGTTATTGGAGGTGGTGGCGATTGAGTTGCTTAACTTTGTTCTATGGGAGCCGATGTAGGGCTACTGAAGCTGCAGTAAAGCTCTCAGTTACTGATCCCTTCTGCTGCTGCTGCTTCAATCCCTTCTGCTGGAGCTGGTGGATATTCAGTTGCTGAACTTTGTTTTTGGGAGCTGATGTAGGGCTACTGGTGCCATTGGGATCACGAATAGCGAATGAGAATGAGGCACCTACAGCAGCTAACTATGGAAAGAAAAGGGTATAAGGCATAGTTGCGGTGCACTGGTACGGTGCGCCATGCGCGAGAGAGTGGTGCACGTGCGCGAAAAAAACAACAACCAGCTGTGTGTGTGTGTGTGTGTGTGTGTGCGTGTGTGTGTGTGTGTGTGTGTGTGTGTGTGTGTGTGTGTGTGTGTGAGAGAGAGAGAGAGAGAGAGANGAGAGAGAGAGAGAGAGAGAGAGAGAGAGAGAGAGAGAGAGAGAGAGAGAGAGAGAGAAGGCTTTGCACTTTTTTAATTTTTGGGTGGACCTTTTTTTTCTTTTTTTTCTTTTTTTTGCGTCGCATCGGGTGCCATGCGTGGTGCGGTGCGCGAGGTGCGCCAGACGTGCGCTGAGTTGCGCACCTCAATGCGCCGCAACTATGGTATAAGGGAGTTAAGCAGCAGCTGCAGTGAAGCTATTCAGTAACTGGAGCTGGTGGGTAATCAGTTGCTGAAGTTCCTCATGATTGGGTTGGTGATGTGTCGTGGTTTCTGTCTGGAGATGACGGACAGGGCATGGAAACCTCTGATGACACTGAAGGATGTGGCGGGGGAGAAGCAAAACGGCAACAGGTAAGGATTCATTCGGCGCTCTTGCAAGCCATCGACTGATGCTTTTCACTTGTGTGCATCCTGTGCCTCTCGTGTGGTGGCCGTTATTTTCCTGTTTGGGAAAGATTAGCCGGGCAGCTAATCTAGGAATCTAAGATATTAATGAGATAGGAGCGTCGTGTATGTATCGGAGGTGAACCGCCAGATCTGGGGCAGGGCTCGTTCTCACCACAGGTTGCTGGTCAAATACAAAGTTGTTTTCTTTACCATTTTAAGAATTGGGCGATCGTCCTTGTGAAAGCTATTAAGGCGCCCAAAAACGAAGGAGGAAGAGGAGGGGGGGAGGGTCTGGCGTGATGTGATTGCTGGCAATGGTGCGTGCAAATAGAAGCCACCACGATGCAGTTCTCATGGGAAGAACGTGAATGATGGAGTGCACATGTTCAGAATAGGAAGTGCGGATGTAAAAATGCATGCCAAGTTGCCGACACAACATTTTGTGCTTATGTAGGGCTGAAGTTTCCTGTTGAATGGTATTCAGTGGGTTTTTCTGCTCTTGTGTTTGATACGAGAAATACAATTGTGAACTAGAGCTGGAAAGAGAGGGAACACAGATTGCAGAGAGAAGAAAAAGGCCCAGCGTTAACTGATACCCTGGTGTACAGTCTGCTTGGAGAGAAAAGCCACCGCCTTCAGACTAAGGCAACCACACACAGTTGCACAGCATAGGGTGCGGAGTGCCTCCAGCTCGTCTTTGTTAGTGCCGGTGGGGGCTACATCATACCTTTGCACTTGTGTGTGATCTTCCTTGATGGTAAAGAAGGAGGAGGAGGAGGAGGAGGAGGAGGAGGAGGAGGAGGAGGAATAAGGGGAGGAGGAGGGGGAGGAAGAAGGGGAGGGGTAGGTGTTGGCAAATCATATTGCTCCCCATCAGAATTTTGGAGGGGATTCTTCAGCCCCAGTCAGACTAAGACATCTGGACAGGTGGATTGCCAGGTACATGGTCCTGGAGATGTGATGAGAGTCTGACAATGGCTGCCGACGAATTTCAAATTTTCAACGCCCATGCAGGCAGTCTGCCCTTTAGCAAAGAGTAGCATAGGAGGAAGTGCGGGAGAGGAGCAAGAGAAAGAAGAACAGTTGTAGGAAATCAAAATATAGACAAGGAACACTGAATCACCTTTCTAAAAGAAAATGAAAAGTAATGTGAAAATGAAATGAAGAAAGCGGAGGTGGAGGAAATCGAATTTTTGGAGGGAGCAATGAAGATAGTTAGACAAGGAAGCTGCTCCCCTTCCCCCCGCACCTCCCTTTCCCGAAAAAAAAAGTGATTTTGCAAGTTCTTGGGGGAGCATGTCGCATTCTCATTTAGTGGAATTGTTACAAGTTGCAATTTTTCAGTGAAACCCTTTTATGGGCAGACAGACAAACCCTTGTAACAAATAAAATGAAGGTAGCCTCGACACGAGTCCCTTGTAAGTTGTAATCAATGACAAGTACATAACTAGAGAAGACGACCTGTATAGTCAAGGCTAACCTGACTTGTATAGTGCTGAGCCGACTTCTGAGATAACTGCTTGCCGTTCCGAGGGTGTGTTAGTCGTTTATCAAATTTGATAAATTGTTGACATGGGAAAGGCTGTTTGAAAATGAAGTACGGAAGTCCTTAACCACGCAGCATCAAGGCACTGAAAGCAATTTGTAGGTGTTAGCAATGAAGATCGAACTGACCAATGTTATGACATTACCTGTCCTGTTTGGCGCAGACGGAAAATGGAATTGTAAACGGCTCTGGGCAATCACGAGAAACCTGCAAACCATCGCAAAACAGAAACCTTCTGAACATTCCTCTTGGAGAGCCTGAGGGATCAAAACTCGTACCATGTCTAGTTAAGGTGAGTTTCCCTTATCTCGGCTTTGCTGTATCCATCCATCCTCCGTCCACTTGCCTGTCCATCTCTTCATTTGTTTTTTGCCCATCCATCTCTCTGTCTTCTTGTCTGTCCAGTCCTCCTCCCCTCCCTCCCTCTCCCCCTTCTTCCCTCCCTCCGTCCCTCCCTCCCTCCGTCCCTCCCTCCCTCTCCCCGTTTCACCCCTCCCTCTCCCCCT